GGCAGGTAAAGACCAAGGATAGCCTTGTCCTGACTTTAGATGAGGGTAGTGTGGATGAGATTCCCTACGATCAAATTGAGTGGGGGCTAGAGGAGGCGGACAGCGGTGTGGGCCAGGGGAGATCCTACGCTGTTGTCGCGGCCGGAGGGAGGCCGCAAGGAGGAAGAGGCCAGGGCCAAGGGGGCCGGGCCTCAGGGAGCCGGTTTCAGGGCGATCAGGGGGTTGGCGRCAGAGGAGGAAACCGCCAAGCGGGAGGCAGGGGTCAAGGTCCCTCACAAAACCGTCCTAGGAATAGGTCTCCCTATAGGGTAGGAGGATGGTACCCAGGGCTACCGCAGGGTAGGCCTTGGGAATCTTTGGGTCTGGACCAGACTTTATGGCAACAACGATTGGACCGGGGCCAGTGCATCTTCAGCGGTGACCCGGGCCATATCATCAAATACTGTCCTAAGTACAGAGAGACCCGAACGGCTGCCCAAGGGCCAAAAGGTAGCCGCCGGTAGGGGTAGCAACTGCCCCTACCACTAGGCCATGTGGGGAAAATAGCGCTAGCCGGCAGGAGACTCCCACACCACATGTGCCTACGACAGAGGTTGCGGGCCGGTGTCTAGACAACTGTCCCGAAACTGCTTGTGTTAGAATTTCGCTAGACACCTCCCTCACAGGCGTGGCCAAAGAGTTGAAGGAGAGGATGCCCGCCTGGGCCAAGATGAAGAAGGAGAACAAAGGGCAGCTTATATTACTAGATACAGAGATCTTTAGAAGTAGAGTAGGGGCCCTAGTAGACCTAGGGGCCACTCGCAGCTATATTAGTAGGAAAGCGCTGCAGAAGTTGAGGCTGGGACTTAAAGTCTAGAAACTGACAGACCCCATAGTTAGTATCCTCGCGGACAATCGTACTATGATTGTAGAGGATTACGTAGAGGGAGTCCAGGCGAATTTCCGCCTAGAGAAAGATGGGAAAGTGGAGAAGGTCCTCCACTCCCTGACTCTCCTCGTAGAGGACAGCCTCCCATTTGACATTGTCCTGGGAATGGATTGGGGAGAGGCAGCCGGGGCCACGCTCTATTTGAAGGAGCACGAGTGTAGGCTCCCTAGTTCGTCAGCCGAGGCCAAGACTGCCCGCCTGTTCCATGTGTCAGGGGTAGAGAATTCCTTTGTGCACTGCTGCCTTAGTGCCCCCGCATTCGCCAGACTGGTGAAGAAGGAAGGATTGGGGGAACAGGTCTTTGTTGCCTATGTTAGGCCAGTGACTGAGCCTACGGAGGAGAAGCTGGTGGACCCCGCGATTGCCAAGCTGCTGGAAGAGTTTAAGGATTTGACTGAGCCGCCGACAGGCACGGTGCCGTGGCCCATCCAACACCGTATCGAGATAGAGCCTGGCAGTAGAGCTCCTAAGGGTGCTGTGTATAGGATGTCCCCGCGGGAGTTAGAGGAGCTTCGCAAGCAATTAGACGAGCTCCTCGAGAAGGGTTGGATTAGGCCCAGTTCGTCTCCTTTCGGAGCGCCTGTCCTTTTGTTCCTAAGAAAGAGGGAGAGCTGAGAATGTGCATAGACTATAGGGGTCTGAATGTTATTACAGTAAAGAATGCTGAGCCACTGCCTAGGATCGACGATCTCTTAGATCGAGTGCAGGGGGCTAAGTATTTCTCTAAGATAGACTTAAAGTCCGGATATCATCAGATAGAGGTACACCCTGATGATCAGTATAAGACAGCCTTCCGGACTAGGTACGGGCATTATGAGTTTATAGTGATGCCCTTTGGACTAACCAATGCGCCAGCAACTTTTCA